TGTGGCCTTTCCCCATCCGCAGCGCCTGCAGCAGGGCATCTTCAGATCTCTGCCTTTGCCTCTGCTGCTCCCTGCTTTCCCTCCTAAGGCCTCTTAGGATCACACTGGGCCCACACTGGTGACATAGAATGGCCTCCCCGCCTCCAGGTCCTTGCCTTGGTCACATCGGCCAAGTCCCTTTGCTGTTTGAGGTAACATGTTCACAGGTTCCAGGGATTAAAATCAGGACATTTTGGGGTCCATTATTTTCCTGCTTGATGGAGAATGACCATCATGGGTGATTGCCTGGGATTTGGAAGAGAGGAGAAATGACTGGGATTAGTCCTGTCAGCCCTCCCACATGTAGTTTGCTTGTGTGACAAGCAGTTTGAGAAGAAGGAGTGGGATTCTCTTCCAAGCCTAACACTCTGCCTAGATGTCAGCTCCGTGAGGACATGGATTTGTATGTCTTATTCACTCATGTGCCTTCATTGCGTAGAACAGTGATGGATATACGATAAGCACCCAGTAATTATTTGTTGCTTCATGAATGGCTGAATCAAGGAAAAGTCTGAAAAGAGCATGATGGAGAATTCTGCCCTGGCCCCAGTATGCATTCAATTCTCATTTTCTTGGTGAAGTAGGGTTTTTGGCTGAGGTTATAGGTAGTGAGGAATCCTGTCACTATGTCAGAGGCCTTCCACAGGTGGGAGAGCTGGACAGCTAAGGTTTGTAAAGTCTGTTCCCCTTCTCCCGTGCCTTTAGCCTCCCTGCTGAGCACCCCCTAGAAATGGGCTTGGGGATGTTTATGGGGGTTGATATATGGCCTCAGTGTATGTCTGGGGCAGCTACCGATGGAGGAAGAAATTGCTCAGTGTGGCAAAGATCAATTGTCCCCACAATGACCAGCTGTCATGTTTCACACTGCTCACCCAGCCAGTCAAGTCTTCCCTTTGCTTCCTAAAAGAGCACTTGACCCTGTGAGGACGTAATATCCTTTATTCTTTGAAAAGTGCCAGTAAAACAGAAAACAGAGAAGATTCTTTGTGCTTAGACAAAAGCACAGATTACCAGTGGTTGAGTGGACAGGTAGCCATCAGGCAGGCAGAGTGATTGGACTTCTTGATAAGGAAGCTAACATTTTTAGGGGCTTTGCTTCTCAGATATGAGGTAGGTCTGACAAACACTTGCCATAAAAGCTACCTTTGAAAACTGATACTTAAAATCCTACGATTAACCATTACTGGGCTTGAAGAAAATGAATGAATTTTGTTTAAAGGAGCAACAGATGACAGAAGGAAATCAGTACAAGCAGTGCAGAGGGTGTCAGTTTTGTCAGAGAATCAAACTCATTTTGTCTTTTACTGTTTTATGTGACCTCAGACAAACGCTATGCCTTCTCTCCTATTTCTGTCTGTTGTTTCATCAGTGCTGTTTTTAAAGTGCCACTGTCTGGGGATGGATGCACATACCATATTCAATATATTTTCCTGGTATAATAGTCTCTTGAAAGTACTTGCCTGTGTTTTTTAATACCAGTTATATTTAATTAATCATCCCTTAAATCAACCTCTAATATCTGAATCTGTAAATTTATTAGTGAAAGAAATAATTAGTTACCAGAAAGGATAAAAAATTCATCATTGGAAGTTCTCATACCATGAGGTTGCCTAATGGTAACTCGTTCTAAACGTTAGGGGAAAAAAACACAGTAGAGACCTTGTGTTGAGGGGCTACAAAATAGGTTTTGAAGGCTATAAACGAAGACTTCTGCTTAGTTTTCCAGGCTGGACAGATGCAGAAGCATGTTCCCTGCCCCATTCTGCAAGAAAGTAGAAGATAAAATTTCACCAAAAGCAATTAAACAAATTACAAGTGAGCCCAAGAAAGGAAACACCCCAGGTGTCAGAAACGAAGAGGGGATCCCAAGAATAGGAACTGTGAGTGGCCAAGGGTTGCTATTCAGGATGATGAGATGAATGTCTGAGGGTGGCATCTGTGAGCCCAGGGGTGCGTCTGCTCTGCAGGTGGAGCTGGGGCTGGGGGAGTGAAAGGAAGCTGCCGTGGAAAGCTGAGATGAGCGAAGGCACAATCCATGAAACTGGGCCAAGCAAACTCCACCGGCAGCCAGGAGAAGCATCAGGAAGCTCGGCTTCTGCCTGCTGCTGTGCTAGGAAGAACCGTAGGAAGCGTGAGAGCATGAGCTGTGCTTCACGCAGGTGTGGAGCTCAAGGTTCACACCAGCAGGGCACAGCCAAGGTGAGCGGAAAGACGCTGTGCGTGGGCGCTTGACTCAGAACGTGAACTCCCGTGGAAAACAGTCACAGCTCAGGATGAGCTTGGCGTCAAAATTGAATACACTCAGGCAGATGAGGGACAACAGGCACTAGTATTTAAAGGAACAGAAGGCGGAGGAGGAATAGGCAGGTTTTAAAAAGGAATCAAATGGAAATTCTGGGGTGGCAAATATTATTGAACGACATGAACACTCGTATTGGCTGAAAACTCTGAATACTGGCTTACATTTAGCTTGGTTTCAGGGACATTGTTCTTTTAACCAGGGAACACTTTACCGGCCACAGTTAGAAAATGCTTACTTTGTACGTGTACCTGAGTGCAAAATATGCAGATTGAAACTGAGGCTGAAATTGGCATAGAGGTTTTAATATAGGGAGAGCTGTAGGGACCGTCCCCATGTGGACTGAAGGAGCCTGTAAGAAGTGCTCTTCTTCTTAAATGAAGATGCTGCAGACCCGCTGGGAACAGGCCGTGCTTTGGTTCTGCTTTTCTAGTAGAGATGGATGCTCACTAATCCACCCATTAAACATTTATCCCCTCCCTTTGCACCCCTCCTCTCCCCCCAAACCAGTTCACAGATTGCTGACCAGACTGAGGGTATCCGTAGCCTGCAGCTTTGGACACATGAGCTGACTGGCCACCATTCTCAAGGGACTCTAGTGGCCTATACTAACCCAGGATCACTTTACTAGTCTTCATTCCAGAAAATACATTGTGCAGCTGAGTCTTTTCTGTTCCTTTAGGACTTTGAAAGAAACTATCACCTTGCTATCAATTTGTGGTGATAACATTGTGGATTCAAATGTTAATATAGTGTTATTGCTGGCCATTTAATTAACAGGTGGCTTTTTGCCCCTTTTTATTTCTGAGCGAGCAGGAACTTTCTCTTTAATTTCTTGCTTAGTACATTGCCTCACACAACTCCAAGTACAAATAACACATCCATACACTTTTAATACCTTATCATTATCTGAGGTTTGTATGAGTCTCTGTATCTTTTTTAAACTCATCTTCCTTAAAATAAAGATTTCAAATGTCTTTCTTTTATAAAACCACTTATTAAAGACAAATGAAAACTCAAGTGCCATCACTGCAGAGACCTTTCTCTTGTACCCACATCAGGTGCCCCCTCTGGCTCAGCACCTTGTGGGTGTCTGAGTCACAGAACTGCTCACACCCTCCTATGTGCTGTGACTATCTGCTGTATGTCACCTGTTTGCAATTCCCAGCTCCTTCAGGGTCATCTTCCGCTCAGTTTTGACCGTTCCTCATACACAGTAGGCACCCCAGTATTTGTTGAGAGGATGAATGAACACTTAAAATAACCATGTTATTCTGGTACTACTGTACATTAGACCCCAGTGATCCTCAAGTGACTCCTGTCAGTTTTATTTAGGTGAACATGTCTAGCCACAATCCAGACATTCTGGCCATAGTTAAAAGCTTTTGTAAGCATTTCGTCATCAAGATTAGAGCGTCTAGAAATCTGTTAGTCATTTTCAAGAGCTAAAGAGTGCACAAAAATAAGGGAGAGTTGAATTAAGGACAGTGAAAAGGTGCAGGATAATGGGATAATTCTGCTTGTAAAATTAGTATCCATTTATTCATTATGGGGTGAGGAGGGAAGGTGTTGAGAAGACCTGAAAACTACATCAGATGAGGGTGTATCTCCCTCCCTTGTGCTATCCTAGAGGGGAATTTTATATGCTTTTCTTAAGTTAAGGATCTAGAGTGAGCTGAGAAAACAAGGATGAGCCATCCACAGAAAACTAAGGACTTTATATTCAAAACATGTAACAATTTAGGGGAATTATCCCTTATTCCACTGATACCAAATTGCAGAAGGAAGGAGGGAGGAGAATTAATAAATGGTCAAAAGGAAGCAAAAGTGAGTTGAAGGTCTTTATAAGAATAAGGCAGTGCCTCAGACTGCATTTGGAACTAAGGCGGGAAGTAAACATACTTTGAAGCAGAAAGATGAGAAGGTTCTTAAAGCCTGGCTCACTCTTTTGTGGAAACTTACAGTATATTCCCAGATACATTAGCTCAGTCTTCTTAAGATACAGTTTATCTTTCAAACACTTTCTGATCCATTTGAAATAAGCCTCAGCCTTTTCATTCCTGTTCTTATTTTTCAATAAAACCTCCTCCCCCCAAAATAAGTCTGTTGAGGGTAAAATGACTTCCAAGGTAAGGAGTTTCAGGAATCGCCTAGCCCCCAACATTAGAGATTATTTTCACCTTAATGGTCCTTCTGCATTTTAGCTTCTGTGATTGGTCGCTGGATCCTCTTTCATTTTCAGTAAATAATTAATTAATGGACTTGAAGTATTATATGTATAACTGTTGTAAAATGTTCATTTAATCATATATTTTACTTAAAATGTGATAGAAATTTAGTGTTTACTTTTTTATTCAAAAACTATGAAAAATACCTCAAATGCGGTTGCCAATAATTTCTCTCAGAGTACAGGGTGAAAGAAATCCTAGAATTAAATGTATTCAGGACCTGAAAAGTTAAAAACATTTGAACTCTTGATAGGAAAGAAGAATGTAGTAAGTACAAATATAGAACTAGTTCAAATGCTAAGGGATTTTGTTTTCATTTTGTATCTTATTGTTATTTTAAAGCACATAGAGAAATTCTAAAGTAAGCACCCTTTGGTGGATTTATACCAGTAATTTCAGTCAGTGAGACGACCCCTTTTCTCTCCTTACACCAGGTCGTTGGCGTAGCCCAGGCCATCAACAAGAAATCGGGAAATGGTGGGACATTCACTGAAAAAGATGAAAAGGTACTGAACCTTGTTTCTGGTGTGATGTCAACAGAGGGATACTTTGTCTTCAGAATGTAAATGCTTCCAGAGTCAGCTGCTGCTGAAAATTGTTGAGCACAAAAATATCATGGGTTAAAATGATCTGAAATGTTCGCAGGTGCCGCTTTCCTGTGCCGAGTACAGAGCCAACCTGACCTTAGAGAACCCAGATGTTCAGTCAGCCAGGCCCCCCACCCTCTCCTCCCTGGGCACCAAACCCCCCCAGAGCTGTGTGCGTGTGGCGCCATCCGGAGGTGACATGGCAGTTTAACTATGTCATTTGCCTTTCATCACTGCTGTAAAGAGATTCAGACTTGAACAAAAACCCCTGAAGCACAGCTCCCAGTTCAGCACTCCAGGTCAGCTAAAAATTAGAATTGCCTCCTGGGGAAGCAAATTTCAGAATGTTTTATTAGCTTTGGACCCGGACGGTGGGGCGCCAAGGTGTGAGTTCAGGCTGGATGATGTGAATTTAGCTTCAGAAAGAGCGGCAGTCAGCTGTATTTTATTACTCTTCACATCCAACTCTGAAGGGATACATTCCATGCAGCACATTGACATGCTTTCCATTTAAGGACAGAAACCCTTAACCTGTTTATAACTTCATTCTGTCAGTACGTTTTATTATTTCTCTTCTTGAATATGTATATCATGGAACCTACTGAATTTTTCCTATTCAAGCCCATTACTATTTACGTCACTCTTCTGAAAATTAGGAACTTTTGGAAGACATTTGAAACAGATGGAGTTATTTTTGTGTCCGTGGTGTAGGCCGTATGGGCACTTGTGTTGGTCCCCATGTCTTAATTGCTTCAGAACAAAGCAAATACCTTTTTAAATCACTGGAATAAACATTTATTATTGGCACTATTATAGTCTTCTATTCTCTTAATGACACCTAAGAATATTTGGTTGGGAACATGGTTCTAGATTGGATTTATATTCCTTTATTTATTTACAGTCCATTAGTGTAAACTCCTCTTGAAAGATTTGCATTCTTAGACTGTGCATCTCTTGGCAAAATAAATCCATGATTGGGAATAAAGTATGCCATGTAGAGATTTATTTTAATAATTAATATATTGTGAGCACATCACCTTAGTAGAAATATAATGAAGATGATTGATCCGTGTTTACGAGAACATATTTAAACTAATATTTGCAACTCTATGTCGGACTGTTATTGCCAAATTATCTTAACAAGTATGTGAGCCTTCATTTGCCTGGTAATGAGTTACAAGCTATTTATATAGTCTCAGCACAGATCGAAGAGTTAATATTATTCAGAGACTACACCACCTTTTACATACAGGGAATTTCAGTTTCAAGTATTAGTTTCAAGGAGATCTGTGTCTTAGTCCTTCCCCTCCTTCTCCTTGTTAATTTGTCACTAGTGTAAGACTTTAGGAGACTGTGTTAACACTGATCATCTATCAGTTGTGCCATTTAGGTACTTGCTTTGCATTTGTTCCTAATTTTATGCAGAATAAACATCTGTGCTTTTGGCTTTCTAATACTTATTTTAACTGCAAATATTTTTGGGTGTATTTTGTGTTTCAGGTAATAAAATAAGACAGCTTAACAGACAATTCTTATTTGGCTGTTGTCTTACCTGTTTTCTAGGACTTTGCTGCTTATTTAGCATTCTGTGGTATTGTTCTTCATAATGCTCAACTCTATGAGACTTCACTGCTGGAGAACAAGAGAAATCAGGCAAGTTTGCTTCCTGAAGAGAGTATAGCAATTCTTTTTTCTTAATTGTTAAATTTTTTTCCAAGTATCATGTGTATTTGATTAAATCTAAATAGTACAGATTGAGTCTCTAAATAGTTTAGCTGTTTCTTCTAATAGTTATTTCCTATTTTCCATGCACTGTTGCTTTATCCTCGTTAGACAATATTCATTAACTTAACAGATGGGGATTTATTGGACTTATACCATCCTTTAACCAGCCATTGCCCTTATCCTACCAGTATCATAACACAGTATTAAGTTACTGGATGAGTTGCATTTGTAATATTCAGTAAGGCTTTAGTTCTTGCTCTGTTAACAATAGAGACATCATCTCTTGATTCCACACTTTATAAAATGAGCATCTTTGCATGCCTCATCTGTCCTCCAAATACCACTCCTTTACCTCTGCTTTGCCCATCTGGACCTCTTCTTTTATATTGTCCACATTGATAATCTACAACCATGATTAACTCTTCTTAAGCTTTATCTGGTTTAGTTCTAAATTTGCAATTTAAAGTGTTTATAACTACCACGACTATGCAAATGTTCACGTTACCTTTATTATATAACTTCTAGTTTTTCTTGATATTTCTGAATCCCTTTTTTTCCCCTTGACTTGTTTGCTCTACTATAGCCTCACGTTGTTGGTTCTTTCCCCCAAACTGTCCTCAGTTAGGCATTCTCTTGAGTTCTTTTTCTTGGGTATCATCAAGTTGAGGTTCTCTCTCTTTCCTCCTCAGGGCTAAACAATTTCTGCCCTGTGTGCTGCGCAGGCACCGCCCCTTAGCCGGCTTTCCCTCGCTGCTTTCGGCGCCCACTAGGTTTTCCCTGGGTTGTGTGGCTCCCTCCTTCCTAGCTTACTCCCTTGTTTGATGCAGCACATACTCAGTTAACTACTTGAGAAAGGGGACTGGTCAGGTAAGCCTTCTGAGTTCTTGCATGTATAAAAATATCCATTACACCATCATACAGTTTTTCAGAATTTAAGGTGGTGCTTTGTCTTCTAAATAACATCCATGTTGTTCTGATTCTTGGGACTTTGTAAGATTTTTTGTTGTTTTATTTTTGGTCTATAAGCTTTTTAGATTATTTCTTAATCTTTACTTTTGTAACTTAATTTCACAATAAGACTTTATTTCATTCTTCATTCTGGTACCTGGGTATCCTCCCAACTGTTCTCCCTGCTCTATTCTTACCACCTATTAATTCAGTTCCCGTTTTTGCAAATACAACTGTGATATTATCACTTCCTCCTGCAATCCACCACAGTCCAGGCTGCTTCAAAAGACATACAGGACTTTGGGGTTCTTTCTCTGCTTAACTCTGCAACCTCATCTCCCAAATTCTCCTTTTTATACTCTATATTCTCATAAAACTTGGTCGGAACTTACAGCATGCTACTTTCTTTCAATTCAGCTCTTTTTGACTGAAATATTTTCCTTCCCCACTTGACCTGAATAATTCCTACTCATCTTTCAGGCCTCAGCTTGGATAGTATTTTTATCTGCACTAAATTTTCTGTAATGCCCTTTCACTTCCATCATCACACAAATACTTTGTGAGGTTAGTAGAAATTCTGTGGAATTCAAAAGAAAGAGAAATAACCAGGAAAAACACAAAAGGAACTCTTAAGAGAACTTTGTTTACATTGGACAGTATGTACTGAGCTCTGTGAAAATGTTGATAAATGTTCATCTCAGAAGTTTAAAACAACAGTGTGTTTTATTTATCATATACAGTTCGAAATGCTTTATAAATGTTAACTTATTTAGTCCTCCCAAGAGTCCCTAAGATTCTGGTACTACTATTATCCCCATTTTCAAGAAACTTTCCTTAGATCACAAAGCTAAAGGAAAGAAAGTCAAGATTAAAAACTGATGATGGTGGTGGCTTTCCGAGTCTGATTGTAACCACTGTAATCACTGTGTCAACAGTCAGTAGGAAGGTTCTGTTAGTAAGCAGAGTACGTATTTAGTACTTGAATACAAACCTGGTTTAACTGATAAGGTTATATATAAATCGCTTTAACCCATATAAATCATTGTATTGCTTTAATAATTATAAACAAGTACTAAGTATTGAGTTGTGTTTTTTTTTGGCAGGTGCTGCTTGACCTTGCTAGCTTAATTTTTGAAGAACAGCAATCATTAGAAGTAATTCTAAAGAAAATAGCTGCCACTATTATCTCTTTCATGCAGGTGCAGAAATGCACCATTTTTATAGTGGATGACGACTGCTCCGTGAGTACCGCGTATGACTCCTGTATTTTTAGAAAGACAGAAACTTTCATTCCTTATAGCACTGTGTAAACCTCATGTTAGCCCCCGAACTCTCTTTCAAACCCAACTGCGTATGGTTGTTATGTAAAGTCTGTCAGTGTGAGCTGATTGAAAAGGGGCAAGAAGCCAGGTTGGAGGATGGCTTCAATGTGCCCTTTCACTTTTGTGCCCCTCCACTGATAGGAATGGGTTGGGGATAAATGAGGATAAATTTTCATTTAGAAACCAAAAGGCTTGGCCCAATAGAGGCAGTGTTATTAAAGGTGCTCATTAGTCCCAAATCCTTTACCAACAGTAGAGATATTAAACCATTCCAACTGGTAGACTTCAGTCCATCGATGTGTAATGAAAAGAAACAGATGTATGTGGAAAGACGGAGCGTTCTTGTAGAGTTCCAGAGTTCCGGGTACCCGAGACAAGCCAGCTGAGTTTGCTCGGCACCTCCAACTGAAGGCAGTTCTCCTTTATGCAGTTTCTCTCCCTTCTCAATGTGAACCATTGCTTCTGAGGTCTTTCTTTTTGAGGTAGCTGTTTATTTTCTTCTTCCTTTAGACCCTACAAATAGGTTCTTCATTGGTGAGTTAGGGAAGAGAATGTATAGGTCATTCTTTTGTATAGGTCAACCGTAATTGATATATAATATCTGAATTGATGTTTTTTGGAAGGGTAGAATGAAAATGATATTTAAGACCTAACATTAAAATTCTTTAATTGCTTTAGATAGTAAGACTGTGGAGATGACATTATCTAAGTCATTTGTGTGTGTATAGTTCTCATTAATAGGATATCAAATAAGAATTCAGTATTCTCATAGATACTATATCATATTTCAATCAGTTATAAAATCCTTAATACAGAGATGATTACCAGGTAGTAGGTATCCTTTTGAAGTTCAGTTCAGGTCAGAACTCATTAATGCAGTATGTCATTTTATCATTTTTGCTCTGTGACCTGCTCTTTAGCATTTGAAAGTTAAACATAAGGCACTCTTTTAGACAACTTAAATATTTATCACTTTAATTAACATCAGCTCATGCTCCTACCAGTTATCATCTATCATGGCAGCAACTGACCTGATCAGTAGTGCTTTTGAAGTATAGCTCAGTCCTATGGCCTGTTAATATATTTTGCTCACTTTTTAACAACTTAATTTGTTGGGTGTAGGAATTAAGTGTTTTAATGTTCATTTATATAATAATGATTTTTGATTAAAAATATTTCAACATGAGCAAAAATTCAAATGTACACAAGAAAAATATGTACTCAGTTCTTGTATTCCCAAATTGATGTCAACAAAAGTACTTCTCTATTTTGCTAAAATTTTCACAATTTTTTTAATGATCTCATATTACTGAATTATGTCTTTTAAAAAAGATCTAACAGCCGCAATCAATGTATGCATCAAAGTTGAGGATTTTGAAGAAATATGGAGAAAATTTAAAGCTAAGAGAGTCATTAACACCTGGTAGAAAAACAAAAACAAGTAGTATTCAAATCAGCGTTTTTGCAAGTGAATATCAGAAACAATAGGATCATGGCTTTTAGTAATGGGAAGCAGATTTGAGGAAGAATGAAGTACTTGTAACAGTTTAGTCTGAGAATAAGTTAAAAAATATCAAAAGTATTGGTGTCTTTAGTCAGTTCCACAGAGTTGTATGTCTATATCTAGAAATATTTCATTACATTGTCTAACTTATTTCTCCTTCTGTGGTGTTGCTCTGTTTTCAGGATTCTTTTTCTAGTGTGTTTCACATGGAGTGTGAGGAATTGGAAAAATCATCAGATACTCTAACAAGGTAACATAACTTACTATTTGCCTTTATCACATTTGCATATAATCCTGGCTAAATAGCTATTTCATGACCTGTTTAATTTAAGACATAGAATCTACAAGCTGGTTTTCCCCCCCAACACATAGATGGATTTGTGAAAACACTTCACTAATGGATGTTAAAATTCCAAGGGTTTTTTTCACCACAGTTGATGTACAGGAAAATTCTTTCATATGGCAAGTGCTACCACAATTAGTAGACCTAGATACAGTATTTTGTGTGCACTGGCTTATTTAAGATAAACAGTACTAAATTTCAAATAATTTTTCATGGCGTATTGGACCCTCACTGGAAATTTGATAGGTTTTTCAAAACATTTTTGGGAGTCTTTTCTGATTTGGAATCAGTCATGGAGATTTAGTACCAGAAGGAAGCCTGTGATCCTGATCACACCAATACATGCATCCAGTAGCTAGAATCATTTGTAATTCATCTCTTCTTCATGTTTTTTGTATTTTTAAAATTTGTGTTCTTTTGCAGTTGTCACTCACAACCAATAGAAAGTATACATGTGGTTGAGGTTAGAGGTGTTATTATCCCAAGTTTATATGTGCTTTCTGAGGAATTTTGAAAAGAATTTATAGTAAACTACTGATGTTCTTTCACATATTTCCTGCTTCACTTTCAGCAAAAACTGGTGGTGTTTTCTTAATTTATAAGATATTCTAAGAAATACATCTGACAGGATAAAGTATCAGGAATTCTTGGGCATAATGCTGTTTATCACATTACTCAATATTCATTTGTTTCGTACTTCTAATTATAGACATTGTATCTAAAAGTTTCATATGAGGTTGGAAATAGAACATTATCTTAACTTTGCTTTTTTACTATTAAAGTTCCAGATTTGTTTCTCTATAGCTCACCTGCCAGAGAGTTAGTTCATGTAGTAAATGATGTCACAATTAGTACCATCCTCAGTAACCAAGGTCCTTGGTGGTAGTGCTTTAAAAATAACCTCTGTGTAAATCTAAACTCCAGAACATTCTATAAGATAACTGGCCTAGTTTCTTCAAAAAGTCAGTGTCATCTAGTAAAGTGGAGAGAGGGACTGTCCTCACACATAACAGCCAAATGCAATACATGAATCTTGATTAGATCCTGATTAAAATTGAAACAGCTATCAAGGACTTATTTAGGACAATTGGACATTTAAATATGGAGTGAATATTAGATGTTGATGGGGAATTACTCTTTTCTTTGGAATTAGGAAGATATTGTGGTTAGTAGGAGAATGTTCCTATTTTTAGGAGATTCAGGCTCCTGTATTTAAGGATGAAGTGCTGTGATGTTTGTACCTTAGTTTAAAATGGTTCAGCCAAAGGTAAATAAAAAATATATCTAAATTTAATATATTTAAACAAATAAGGATATTCACACATACATATGTAGATAAAGCAAATGCATGCAAGATATTAAAAATGCTTAAATCTAGAAGTAGGATATTCACTTTACTTTTCAACTTTCAAATTTTGTGTACATTTCCTTCAACTTTTTTGAAAATGTTCATCATAAAATATTGAATGAAAATGTTTGTAATAAAAAGTTGGAAACAAAATAAAATGACAATCTTCTCTGTAGAGCATATAAAGTAGAATTGCCTGAGTTTGAAGCTGCAAGAAGAAAAGACTTCAATGCACAGCCTGGTTTTATTCTGACCCTCTTAAGACTGACCCCAGGGATCAGTAGAAGTGTGCAGAAGCAGTCTCCTGCCCTCTATATGGGCTCTTTTCTTCCTTCTTCCTCTTTTCTCACCCTGCCTCTTGTGTCTTCCCCCACGAAAATGGAGGAACTGTTGACCACTGTGACTTCAGGTTGTTAGTTTGTTAAGTGATTGTATTTAAATCTAAACTCATTATTTCTAGACTAGTATTTTAACATGATATCATACAATGAAAGAGCTTTTAGCCTATTAAAATAATTTTAGGAATATGCACAGGGTTGTATGTAACTTTGGAGCAGAATGGGACTTCATTTGATATCTGGAACACAGACCTGACGTAGACCTTTACTGCTTCCTTGGACGTGGGTGTGTTGTCAAGGTAGATACACATCATATCACCATGCAGATTTTCTACTGCCCTGGAGTTTTTGGTTCACAAAGTTATAACTGAAAGGTAATCGTTATTTCCTTCCCAACATTGTTGGTCCTGAACTGAACTTTATATCCCATCTCCTTATCTGTTCTTTCTTAAGCCCCTGTGTATGGCATTGAGATTTCTTGTTTATTTGACATTTTTGAATGTTTGATAATATGTACACATCCTGATGAATATGTGTATATCCCGTTTAAGAGCTGATAGCAGGATAAACTGCCCAGCTCCTGGGAAGTTTATTTTTTTGGAGGAACATAAATATATATTATTTTGCTTTTTATTATTTTACTTTTCAGCTTTCTTAATGAATTGCTATATATAAAATTGTATGTGCATGTATATTTAGGTATTTACCTCTGTCTGTAGGTATGCTAATGTATTCTGAAAGTATTAAGTGATAAATATTTATGCAGCAGCATATGTCTGTGTAATTATATTTTATGTATTGGCATTTTGATTTTTATTATAAGTTCTGCCCCATCCTCAAATTTCTAGTGATAGTTGAACAAGCCCAGTGATTTGGTGTAATAGTGACCTCTGTTGGTTAATATGCATTTTCTTAAAATAGCAAAGTCTCATTTATTTGATTCGTTTCTGAACGCATTCCCTCTCTGTATATAAAGTAGAAGGTCTCTTTCCATTTATCTTTTTAATCATCCCAAGACACTGTTAGTATAAAACTGTTTTTTACAAAGGATAAAGGGGTCATTGTGATTACTTTAAAAGAGACTAATTTAGATGAAGCATTTAAACTGATTCATTAATCAATTTCATAGTAATAAAACTTATTCAAAATTAATGCCTGATATCAGCTAACCATTTCAAAGTTAGTCTTTATCTACTGATACAGTAGAAGACCTTTTAGGGATGTAAATATGTTTTTATTTTAAAATTTTGCCTAATTTTTGCAAAATCCCTGAATTAAAATGGTGTATAGTAACTTAAGCATTTTGAAAAAGAACTGACCTGAAGTTGATGCTTCACAAGCATATTCTTTATTATGTTTCTAAAATTGCTTATTGATGAAATTCAGGACTCTACAGTTCTCGTTCTGAAATACTTTGCAAATCCACATGCTCTTCCATGAAATGAAATGCTAGGCAATTTGCTGATGTTAGCAGTAGGCAAATTATTCTTTTTAGTTATTTCAGTTAAAAAGCATGGCTCATTTCCAGCCAACCCACTAATTATCTTTTATAAATTCAAATAACAAATTGAAGACAGTTTTGAAATGTTCAGTATAAAACTAAAAAATACTCAGGGTGAACATTGCACATAATTATTAGAATCATCTCATCAGAGGGCTAACATACAGGAAGCAGTTGGGAGTTGCGTTGCCCAAGAATTTCAGAAGGGAAGCTCATTTCCAGATGGTGGGAGGTTTTACAGTTTCTAAGCTTCAATTCAAAGAGCCACACAGTTAAAAGGAAAAAATGAGTATGATGTTGTACAGTCTGTTGCCTCTTAATTTTAAAATATAGATTTTTTTATCACTTCAATTTCATATTAATACCTTTATGTTAATTTATAAATGCACATTGTTATCATAAAATGACAAATACATGGAATCAATCCTTTAGGCTCACTTTCTTTGAATATATACACTAGTTAATGCGTGTTGTTGGTTATTAGAAAACAGTAATGCCTACTACTTTAAAAAGTAGTAAAACATTGTTTACTACTTGAAAAAACTGTGGATTCTGAGTAGAAGATGGTAGACTCTGAAATCAAATCAAACTGATTTAAATTTAAGTTTCACCACTTACTAGTTGTAGAGCCTTGTGTAAATGATTTAACCTCTCAAAACCTCAGTTCCTTCATCTGTAAAAAGCACGTACTGAGAGCAGGACTGTTTTGCAGAGTAAATGAGATAATGCACATAAGATGCTTCAGAAATGTTCTGACATATAAGTACTCAGTAAGTGTTGGCTATTCTTTGTCTCTGAATTGTTTTTCTGTCTTTGGTTTTGGTAACCTGCAGTGATTCCCATTTAGTTCTAAAGGACAAATATTTCTCAGTGTTTCCTAGTTCCATGTGCCTATCTTCCCAGCAATGTACCCATATACACCTCCATTGATAATCTAGTGTGTAGAAAGCCTTAGGTGTCCAAGTTAGCCCATGCTCTCCAAGAAGCAAAAACCAAGACTGGATTAAACATGCAAGAACTGTATTAGGGGAACCCTGAATGTATTATGGGAAGGAGCTGGGACAGAGTGGGAGAACCATTAGGCCCCCACAGGAGTTGGACCAGAATGAAAGAAGGGAAAGAAGGAAGGAAGGTTTTGTGGAAGTGCCTTAGACAGCTGAGCAGTTGTAAGGTAAGTTTGGCAGGGCAGCCAGGGAGTCCTCTAGCCAAAGCCTCCCGTCACAAGAATGCTGGGCCTTCCAGAAATGGACCTACTATAGTGTGCCTGCTGGGCTCTGTCTATCCAGGGGCGGCTTTGGGAGGCATGGCCTCAGCACCAACGTGGCCCTGGGCACAGCCGCCAGAGACATAGGTCAGTTATGCTTCCTACACTAGGAGCTCTGAGAGGTACATTTTCAAGGCCACCATAATACTGCCATTATTTAAAGAATGAGATCCATATTATTTACAGTGTACTTCAAAATAAGCCACTTTCTGACCTAGCCTAACATCTTCAGCCTGAAGCCATCACTTTATTTCTAACAGTCTATAACTAATGTTTCCCAAACACACATAGAACTCTTCCATTTTAGCAATGTTTTTACGCTGTTTTTTTTCTTTTTTATACTGCTTTTCCTCTCTGGAGCATCCTCCCTTTCATTCCTGCTGTCTTTCTTCACATCCTTAAACCTTACCCAGCCTTTTACACATTTCTCTAATGCCTCCTGGTCTCTAACCCACTCCATTTAGGTCCCTCTGTCCATCTCCTCCGCAGGTGTGGTGCTTTCACTTGTACCAGTTGTATTAGTTAGGATCTGGCTTGACTGTGAATCATAAAAATCCAACACAAAAATAGCCTAAACAAGAAGGCAGCATCATTACTGCCTCAGGTGGAGGCCAGAGGTCGGCAGCGGCTCTGCTCCACCAGGGCCTCAGGGACCCAGGTGCCTTGGGGCTTTCTACTGTGCATCCGAATGGTGTGGCCTTCTCTCTGGGGCCAGGGTGCAGCTCTGACCCCCACATCTAGCTGAGCTGTAGGATGGGGTGGTGAAGGAAGGGGCAGAGAGCAGGCAGAAGCGAGGTTTCTGGGAGCAGTGACATTTCCTCTTACAACCTGTTGACTAGAACTTACCCACTTGGCACCGAAGTCCACTAGGCTGGCTGGGCAATGTAGTGTGTGTTCCGATGGCCAAGCGCCCAGATGGAGAGGAAGGGAGAAGCATTAGGAGGGACAACTGGCAGTCTCTGCCCTGCCTCCACCCCCGCCATAAGCGCCACCAGGCCTGTATTACTCCTGTGGTGTCACACCTCTGCTGAGTTCTATTTTGGGTTCCATCTGGTTCCCACTGTAAACATAATGATGATAGGAATAGTAAACGTCATTAAGAGCATTGTTTTTTATCATTTTAAACAGACATGGACATCTCCAGTTTACTTTCTCACAGGAACCACCTTTTCATTTTTCTTACCTTTACTGAGGCTTCTTTTCTTTTCCTGAGACCTTTGCTATCTGTGAAGTATTTGTAGTTTTAACCATTGTATTACTGACCTAAATCCTGTGCTTAATTCATAACCTTGCCCTGGGGTCCCAACTCAGATCATCTGCATGGAGTAGAAGCCCAGGCGTGCCCTGGCTCTGATCAGTGGTGAGCCACACGCCTTCACAGATGATCGTGGTCACAGTGAGTGTTCCATCTGAAATCCATTTGCTCCTACGTTACTCCCATCCTTTCCTTGTCGTTCTTTTTGACTTACATATAATATAGGACATGGGGTCAGTAGCCAGTGTGGCCAAATTACCCCTAAACTAAAATGCACAGCCAAGAAAGGAAAGAATGAATATCTGGGCCAGGAATGAGGCCACCGACTCCAGGAGTCTGGAATCCCTGGTGCTCAAGAACACCACTGGAAACCCATCCCAGGAAGCAGTGTGGACAGGTAGGGTGAGAGTGATGGAAGATAGGAAACGTATTGGGACTTTGAAAACTCAGAACAGGACATTTTTCCTGAGGCATGGATTTTATTTTGAAAAGTCCCCAGGTATAAGGCTTTCCTATTTCTTCAGGTAGTGGTCTTACAATCAAGTGGGCATAGCCTTACAATTGGAGTGAATTTCCACAACCTGACCCTCTTTGATGAATTATTCCATCACCAGGGAACATATGAAGTTTGCTGATGAGAAAATATGTCCTATCTTCTTTTCCCAACTCAAGCGCTGGCACTGTACTAACGTACCATTTGATATCAGAGTGACCATTTATGTTTAACCTTTTAAGCAAGAAACTGGGGGAAAAAACTGCCCAAATATTGTAAGTTCAAGAAAACTTATTGAAGATCAATTTTTAGCTTAAAGACATATCATAAGGAATCTCAAAGCAGAAAAAAGAAGAGGGAAGAACTTATCAAAATTCTTCTAGGTGTACTTGATTTTTTTCCCTACTTCAAAATGTGTAAAAAGATTATTGGGATGGATAGATAAAGTAAATAATTGTGGAAGTAAAACAGGCACCAGACCTTAGTCATTCTATAATCTGATGAAAAATTAAGACATGGGAGAAAATTCATACAGATTTTTCATTAAATGGCACAAAAGTCAACATGCCCATTAACAGTGGTGATGAGATTACTTATGACATTTTAAAACTTGTTTTAGATAGTTGAAATATTCTAAGTCTTTGTCTTTATGATATAGTAACTACCAATGTTATAAATCATGAAGTACATTTAAAACTGCATTTTCCAGTTAACATACACAAGTTGCCCTATAATTTAAGACCGGTATGTTTCTCTAATTATCACTTCTTTAACCCTGTTTTTGCCCATGTTTTCTCACTGCACAGGAACTCATCATATCTATTATCTCCACAGGGAACATGATGCAAACAGAATCAATTACATGTATGCTCAGTATGTCAAAAACACTATGGAACCACTTAATATCCCGGATGTCAGGAAGGACAGAAGATTTCCCTGGACAGTAAGTAACCCAATTTTAGCCTGGAGCTCAAAGGCTGTTTTCCCACCAGATCTGTACTTCACAGTGACTCTTCAGCTGACGGCCTGGCCCCAGAATTGGCTAACTAGGAGTGGTCTGTCCTTTCCCAGATCTATCTGGAAAATAAAATTGCTCGTAACATCTATTGAGATGCAGTCAGCTCTACTTGAGTCTTTTTCTCTGCACTTTCATCAGTTTTTTCAACATGTGTTAAAGAGTTATCATAAGCTAATGGAGAAGTAATTTAACTATTACCTCCTTAATGTCAAGGGCATTCCTTAAGTAGAGTTCTTGAGTTTATCCTCAAAAATTAAGTTTCTTATAGCTTGAACTTACATAATTAATAATCTTGAGTAGCATGGAAAAACGAATCTGTGTTTTCCTTGACAGCAAAGTTATAAAGACTGGTTTCTCAGACATTGAAAACTGAATTGTAGTATATTGTCTCATTTTACTCAGCAAAGCATCGAGCTTTGAGACAGCTATGTTGATTTTGTTTTTGTATATCTATGAAACCTTTTTAGATATTTAGCAACATGGGCAATAGATGCAGTGGTAGTACTACAGAAGGACAAATCTGTAACTTGTGATATGCTAAGGGCATAACACTTTTGGATTCTGCCCCTCTTGTTAAGTTTTTGCATCATCTACACCAGAATAGTAAATGCTGAATAACTACTTTGCTTAATATTACTATAAGTTGCTTTGAAAGCTCCAAACTGAAAAAAAAAGGATATTTATTATTTTAAATAATGTAGAGACTAATTACTTTATATTGCATTTATGTGAATTTCATTATAATAGAGCATTTTCTGCACTCTGATGTTATATCTCCAGCTAATAAAAGAATAATATATTAGTGTATTCAGATGTCCAACATAATTTATATAGCATTTAATGGACAAGTTAGTCTCTTCATAATTTGTACGTTTTGTTTTTGTTTTTCTTTAGATTGAAAACACAGGAAATGTAAACCAGCACTGCATTAGAAGTTTGCTTTGTACACCTATAAAAAATGGAAAGAAAAACAAAGTGATAGGTAAAGCCTTTTCATTACCTCTCCCCTTTACTTATTAAAGAAAAAAATGTACTCTAAGAAACTTCTTTCAAGTATAAATTTAAAGAATAGAGGAATGAAAAAAAGACAAAAATTGGAATAATAAAATAATTTTGAAACAATTTTATATCAATAAATCTCAATAGACATTTGTTAAGTATCTTATGAACTGTGGTGTAGTTTTGTAATGACTTGACAGTAATTTTATTGAAGGAGAGTATAATCAGAAAGGCAGGACCAGAAGGTATCATTCCTAAAAATGGGGTGAAAAGAGAAATATTGAAAGGGCCTGTCCCAGGGCCAGGGATCCTTCACCCATCGTGTGGAGATGGTTGTAGAAAATTGTATCAGAGTATTCTGACCACATGGGGAAGCCATCATGTACATGGTGAAGGGTGCAGTGGATCACAGCAGACAGTTTTGCAATGATTGCCCTTTGGTGGCATGCGTCCTTTCCGTGACACAGACACATGGGCTTTTGCCATTAACTCCCCATCAGCCTGCCTTGGCTTGTTTATTTTTCTTTCCGAGGTGGATTAACTCTGAGAATGAGAATGCATATTCATATCCTCTCAAAGACATTGATTGCTTTGACAGTTGTTCCTTATTTTAAATCAGTGACCTGGACTAGAGGCCATGGGCTGGAGCGGCAGCTGCACATCTCCCGTTCCTGGGACAGAGCTCATTCTCGTCCATCAACTCTATTCTGGGCTAATGAATCTGTGTTGGGAACTTAGTTACTGTGACTTCAACCCTCAGGAGGTGGATCTGTCCTCAATATGATAATCTAGTTTCTAAGCCTACAGAATGGGGTCGGACCCTGACCCTGGTGAACTGCCTGGTAAAGCCTCTTGGAAGCCAGCCAGCTGATTCCCTGCTTGGCTGTTTGCTCCCATGCCCTCTTCACAGTTCTCAGAGGAAAAGGGAGAGGCTGCTGAATACGTACAGAAGCTCTCTTTTTCAAGAGTGCCACCCAACAGTTCTCTAACATAAACAATGAAGAAAACTGACAAAGGTGCCCTACAGTATGATACTGAGTAAATATCATAAAATTTTATTTCCAAGCAAGTTCAAGGTGAAAACTACAAAATAAATGCTATGCTTTTTAAAACACTTCTTGATATAAGCATGAAGACTTCCTACAAGCTGCCTTTGACCTTTGAAAATGTGAAATGAAATCCCAGAGCGATGCCTTATATACTAGTAAGCTTTCATAAAAAGGACACCCAGTGGCAGCTCAGCATGTCAGATCACATGTTCACTTTTTCCTCAGCAGCGCCTCTTTGAAAATAATAATGGGGAGTGTGGAGGGTCTGGGGGGAGTTACCCGTCACTTCAGCAATGAGAACTAGTTCAGTTAAGGGCAGATAGCCCTAGATGGAAGGACTCACAGCGTCCTTCTGGTCCCACTCTGTAACCATTTAAAAGGTTATGGGCACATTACTCACGTCTGCAGAGTTGAACGAAATAACCTTTCTGATACATTCAAAATTCATATTCTATGATCCTGTCATGTTTCAGATATGTGAGGAAAGAAATTGAAATAATCAGACTTTTTGTGGCATACATTTTGTGTCACCCTACTTGATAAGAGAGACAAAAGTAAGCAAATGTTGTTCTTGGAGAGGAACAACTCCCTGTAATTAAAAAACAAAAGAAAAAGATTCCCCTAGTGAGGTTTTGTGGTGGTGGTAGTGGTGGGGTGCTGGTGCAGGGAGGGCCCTCAGGTTGATTCCAGGTATAAAAGGGAACATTTCCATTGTCTTCTGCTGTTTTAAAACAAGTGGGAGAAAATGAAGAATTTGAATTCTTTACTCTACTTTGTGCCCACAGATGCAGCATGGAAAATATCATGGTTATAGATAATTTTTCTTAAATATCAGAGATCAGATTCTGCCATTATGCAATTTTAATAGAGAATCCCCATAGAGTTACATGCAGTAAGACAGACGGGCCCATGTGGTTTTTATAATCTTCCTTCCCCCTCATTTTTTTCCATTACTGACATTTAGATGAAATTACAGACATTAGACCAGTAAGAGGCCTGTTGTATCATCAAATGTATTCCCTGAGGTATTGTTTCATATCAGATGTTTTCTTAGTGCTCTGGCAAAAACAGAATATTTCCACCACTTCACTTCCAACACTCTTCAGGAAATACTTACCTCACTCAACATTTATTTATTTTAACCTATTATTTCCCCTATTTATTAGGCTAAGTATGACTTTTTCCCATATCATTTTTAGCAGAAACTCTTGTGCCTATTTTTCATACCAATTTCAGGGTAGATTTTGAAGAAAATAGTCCCATTCTCATCCCTCCTTTCAAAAAATGTTTAGAACATCCCCACTTTAACTTACATTTCCCATTTCCATTGTCTTCTTAGTGAAAAAGTATAATAAAATCATAGTATTATACAAACACATTGCTTGGCAGTGAAGTATGAGAGAGAAATACCTATTTCTTACTAAATGTTATATTCTGAACTGATTACTGTCCAAATCCTCTGCTCATCTACGTGTTATAATTTGATTCCAAGACATAAATAAAATTTCTAAAATTACGTAAGTTTTAATTTGAATTCTACTTCATTTTATTTTTCATATTAAATTTTATCATTTGGCATTATCACTTGTTTATATATTTCCTAGAATTTTCCTAATGCAATATTCAAACTGTGTGGTATCATACATGGTACATATTGCTTCTAATGCCTAAATACCCAGGTTTTTTTCTCAGTAAAGAATTGTAAATTATGCTTAGTTATAATAAGCACCAGGAAATAAGACTGTAGGAGCCAGTAATAACTGGAAAAAAAGGAGAAAAAAATAATAAACTAAGAAATTAAAGCTTAAAAATAAGAAAGTAAAAATCTACAAAGTAAAATAAATATAAGGGTTATAGTTTTAAGAATTGATTGAAGAAATGGAAAATTAAGGAAAACTTCATAGTAGCATTGGAAACAGAAGTTTACCTTTTTAGACCAGAATGACTGAGGAATTTTGGGAAGGTACGACACATATGCCATTTGTAGGAACACATTTTTCACAAAACGGACAAGATTGGAGTAGGGATAACAATGTTAATATCAAAGTAGAATTTAAGGCAAAAACATACTGTAAAGGGTCACTTGGCATTGATTAAAGTTGAAATCCACAGAAGAAAGTGTAATTGTCAAAAATGCTTCTAATAAACTATTATTATGTGAATAACATTATTCACATAATAAAAGCCAAAGCTATTAAAAACATAGGGAGAAATGGACATTTCTCCATTATAAAAGGAGCCTCTAGTTCCCTTTTCATAAAGAGTGAAAATACAGGAAAAGATAAGGAAACATTAGAATTATTTGATATAAAAAAGGAAATAGATTTAATTAGTATTTATAGATTTACTTTTATATTTCATAACTTAAAAATACAAATTCCTGTCAAATATCCATCAGAAACTTACAGATACTGATGATATACACATATACAACACAGTCATTTCAGAAAAGTAGAACTGATGGCCAGTCTCATGGATCACAATGCATTAAAACTGAAAATGCGAAATAAGAGGATAACTTGAAAGGAAAATATGGAGAAACTGAAAAGCCTTCTCTTAACTGATAAAGAAGAAATCAGAGGTCAAAATGAAAATACGCATTATATAAAATTAATGATTGTACCAATATAACTTTAAAATGTAAAGGACACAGCCAAAGCTATACTGAGGAAATACATAGCTTTAATTACTTTGTTATTATTAGTTAAGAAGTAATAAAATTATTTGAACTAACCATTCACAGAAGAAATTAGAAAATACTGCTTCCACCTCTAAATAAATAAATGGAAAGAAAGCAGAGGAAAGAAATGGAAATGATGAAAAAAAAGAAAAAGCTGGGAAGGGATAGTAGAGAGAGAGAGAGAGAGAGAGAGAGAGAGAGATAATGGGCAAACACAATAATAATAAACTTCCAACACAGAAAATGAAGAGAATAAGAGAAATACAAATGGGAATGAAAAAGGAAATATAGACACAGAACAAATTTTAAAAGATATTAAATACTACAGAATACCAAGAAAATAATATATTTTGATGAAATGGAGAAATTGTGTAAAAATGGTAATATCCAATACTGACTCAAAAGGAGTTTAAAGTTTTTCATAGACATAATCAGAGAAAGTTATTTTTAAAGGTATTAAAAAAAAAACTATTGCCCAAATTCTAACCAACACAATCAAAGGAGAGATGAAACAAGGTCAGACATAGAAAAAGCAAAAGCAAAATAAAATAACTTACAAAATGATATGATTGCTAATTGGAAAAACCCAAAAGAATCAGCTGAAAGCACCTACCTAAAAAGAGAGTTTAAAAAATGCCTGGTTATCAAATTATTAAAGAAATAACTTGAATATATCCCAAAACAAATTTGTTAGAAAATAATAATGGGAAAAAATGCCATTTATAATAGTAACAAAGAATAAACTTAGCCAGAATGTGTAGCATCTTTATGAGGAAAACTATAAAATTCTACTGAGTAACTTAAAAATCTTTAGTAAGTGAACTGACATAACATTTCCTGACAATAGAAATCTATTTTGTAAAATGTTGATTTAGCCCAGATTAGATTTGCATTGATTTAATACATGTCCTTGTAAGACTTTTTTTCAAGAGAGAAGGGGAGTTCTGTCCAACATTTATCAAATTCATATGGAAGAATAATATATAAAAAGAATCAGAGTTGATGGAATAGAGAATTGCCCTGTCAGAAATGCTGTGGAAGTGGCATATGTGTATGTGTTATAAGAGATGGCAAGTCTGATGGAACACAAGAGAAAGTCTAAGTGTAGACCCAACTCTGGTATATATAATACTTGTGCCATTGTGTATAATAGAATATATTCCATCATTTTTAAGATGCCATTGGTTGCCATTGGTTGAAACACATTGCTTTATATACCTCCAAGAAAGAAAAAAATGATTTCAATTCAACTGTGACAAGCAATTGATTAGGGTGCATACTGATTTCAAAAATGTTAATATGTGAAAAAATTACATAATAGTTGAAATAAATATGAATTTAGTATTTAAGGTGGTAGTTCAAATCATTAGAGAATGGATAACCCTTCAGGTAGTATAAAAATCCCATAGCAAAGTGAGGGAAAATTAAGTTGAATTAGAAGACTGAGTGTGCACAATGAATCTATAAAAGTACTAGGGGAAGATATAGGTTTACATGTAATCATCAAATGGGGAAATTTATTTTAAAAACAAGACAATATACAGAAAAAGCTTCCTTGAATTAAGATAATTGACAAATAAGTGCAAAAAATAATACTTCAAGATAGGTGATAAGGGTAGGTCTTATGTATTAGTAAGACAGGACACTAATTTTGGACCCCACATTATGTAGTGGGAAGGACATGCAACTATGAGCAGAATGTAAGAGCTGACTCCCGTTCCTGCCAGAAGCCAGAAGGAAAACTATGGTTGGTAACATCTCATTCCTGTAATTAGAAAAAAGGAAACATAATTGTGTGATTTTAGAAACCACTTAGTCCCTTCAGCATAATTTCTAGAGATGCCAGCAATGCCAATTTAGCTCTCAGAGCTGCTTACTTTGTGAACTGTAATAATACTAACACTGAGGTTTTACTACCTGACAATACTACTTTGGTTTCCTCTTAAACTGTGTGTGAATATTTTATTTTATGATTTTACATATTAACTTTTTTGCTGAATGGTTTTGCTTTCTTTTTGGTTCTGCCTTTCCTACTTCATTTTTATATATAAGTGATTCTGATTTTGTATGGCTTACAATAGATGTAGCATCTCAAATGACAGTTTTAAATTTCACTATTGTGATCTTTATCTACTCGTCCAGTCATTAATGAAGAAATGTGAAAACTCTATCTGTAAATGTGCCCAAGCTTTAAATTTTCTCACATGTGCCATTCGTTTGTTATCAGCCACCTTCTTCATTGCTTTTTTTTTTCACTTGGGCATTTTTGTTGAATAGAACAAAATTTCTTAAAGTGTTTAAATAATCAGCAGGATTATTGTAAATGCTATATATCTATTCCACTTTCAAACAAGAATTAAATTATTTTCCTAAATGGATAGTTTGTCTTCATTCCTTTTCTTGCCCTGAGCTTTCTCTCTATCTCTGTCTGTGTTTCTATCTATTTCTGTCTCTACTCTGCCTCTAGCTCTAGCTCTGCCTATACTGGTAGATTGTAATGTAGACGTGCCTTAGCTCTCCTGCTCCAAGCTATGGTTATTACGGCCACTCTTGACATTTGTACATGTAACATTCCATTTCAATAGCTTTCAACTCCAGAGGTATTAATTAGTACTCCTTACGTATTCATTCAATGACTTTTGACTGAAGCATGGATTTGAAATGCCATACAGGAGAGAGTAACTTGGCTAGCAGACTACCTGATACCCACCTTTCAACCCCTCCTGTTACATCATTTCCTTTCCATACATGCAGTAATTCTTATGAAGTGATAAAAAGAAAAATCTTATTTATGAAAAATGGCCATGAAGTAGGAAAAACTTTGGTAAATACTGAGAGACATTTACACTGTGATGTGAGGATAAGGGCATGAAACGTGACTCACAAGAAAATGTGATTTGGGAGATGGCCTACATAAACAATGCCATATTTATAATTTGGGGATTCACAAAAGTTGGAGGTTATAACCCTTGTGTTTTTACCATACATGGGACATATTTAGACAATGCCAATTATCATTTAGTCAATGTTTTTATTTGCAGTTTCCATATCATTATGTTTTGTTTAATGTTTTTCTTGATAATGGAATTAATGTTAGAGAAGTAATCCCTGAGGTAGTAATACAGATAAGGGTAGCTTTCCTGTGTGAAGTGGAAAAATTCACACAAATAATGAGAGTACAGATAATTTGTAGCATTCAAAATAAAATGCACACTGCTGGTGGTACAGGGACATAATGTGTCATCATGGACTCTATAAAATCCCTTCATGCTCCAGGAAAAATAAGAGATTACAAGACTATAGTTGCTTCATGGGAAGTAGTTTGGGTCAGAGATGCAGTCCTGCATTCTTTCATTAACTCAGGAAACATTTTTTCAGTTCCTGCTATATGCCAGGCATTTTGCTAGCTGAAGAAGTGGAACAGAAAAAATTACATTTCTAAGCTGAAGATATGTACAGTCTAGAAAGAAAGACAGAAAAAAATCCACCATGATACACCAAGAAGAAATATTTAGGGCTAGAAAAGAGAAGTGCCTGCCTTCCCTGGCAAGAGGAAGGCCTCCAAGGAGCTCCTTGTGAAGGAGATGTAGGATCAACAGGATAACAGGAGACAGTGGGAAGCAGAACAGGCCAGGGGAAGAGCAGAGGTGTGCACAAGCAAGATGCAGTTGGGGAGCTGCCAGCAGTGATCTGAAGGAGGTCACAGGACGTCCATAAAAGCAGAGTGTGGTCAAATGCGGCCTTTGGGGAGAGGCTGAGCAGGAGCTGGAATTTTGGACCCACGCATAGTAGCTAAGTGGTCTTGAGCAAATGACTTAACCTTTCTGAGATTTAAGTTTCTTTATCTGCAAAGTAGAGATAGTCACACCTTCCTCACAGGGTAAATAGAACTAGAGCTTATGGGTTAGCATAGCACCTACCCTGCAGTAGGCATGAGATGGAAGTCTACGTGTCTGACTTTCTACATGAGGCCAGGACTTTGGAGGTTATGATTTTCTTCAAAGATCAGTTCAGCTTTTATTTCTAAGTAAATAATTATTTTTTGCATTATTCACAGTATCAAAAGTTGTCTGCAAATATGATTTTCCTGGATGCAGAGTTGCATATTTGAAATTTGAGACTGTTGATTTGAATAGACTGTTTTTACATTTTATTTTCTGTGTAATTGTGTGTTTTAACTTCTGGTTCCTCAGTAAGGACAGGCAATCTGCATGACCCAAAATTCTGTTGTGCATCAAAATTATTCTCTTGGCAAGTGTACAAAAATCCAATTAGTCTCCAAAGGACAAATTGTCTTTGGGGACTCAACTGATCTAAAATCTGCGACTGGGTCTGGAAGAGAAAGTATTCTAGGATTTTTTTAAATGTAGGCAACATACATTTAGGACTATGTAAAACAAGTTCTCATGTCAGTTAATTCAGTTTACTTTTATAATTTATATTTGTAAAGATTTATTTGCTTATTTGGAGATGCCAAGCATTCCTTCAAGAAAAATATAAGGCAATCTTTGCTTTGGGGTGGGTAGTGTTAAAGTGAATAAAAACTATGATAATTAATAATAATATTTGGTGAATTTCTTGGATTGTTTCAGGGGTTTGCCAGCTTGTTAATAAGATGGAGGAGAATACTGGCAAGGTTAAGCCTTTCAACCGAAATGATGAACAGTTTCTGGAAGCTTTTGTCATCTTTTGTGGCTTGGGGATCCAGAACACACAGATGTATGAAGCAGTGGAGAGAGCCATGGCCAAGCAAATAGTCACATTAGAGGTGGGCTGACACTTATAGGACTTCTCAGTCGCTACAGCCAAACACTCAGCTCGTGCCTCTCCCTCCCACAATGTCTGTTATGTCATTGTATCGTCATGAAAATCATGTGTTTTAGATGGTCAAATCCTTACTTCCTTATTTAAACAGCTAAGGAAACTGAGACCCAGAATATTTTAGGAATTTGTTAACAGTTACATGGCCAAGCCAAAAAGGCCATTTGTCCCTTCAGCCCTTTGCTTTTTCAGTAGAAAGCAATCCTTTACCTTAATAACCCATTCACATGGATGTCTGCTGCTACTACATCCTGTTTGTCCCTTCCCCACTGCCTAAGCCTCCCCATCTCTCCTTGTGAGCAGTTGTGCACACACATTTAAAAAAATAAAAACAGAAGCCTTAAGCACTTAGAGAATCAGAAGTGAGGAAAAGGGAAACCCTTTCAAATTACAGATTTACGGACCTCCCTTCTGAAAATTCTGATTCAGTTAAGTCTTGGGTAGAGGCTGAGAATCTGTGTTATTATACATCTCCCCAAGTGGTTATGAGTGTACAGGAAGTTGGAGAACCACTGGCATGGGGGAGTGGCCTCAGGCAGGCTCCCTCCCAAGTAAGACTAGCCTACCCAGGTGGGGCCAGACCTTCCAAAGTGTTTTACTAACTGCCTGAAAATGCTTACTTAATGTAACATGGAAAGTTCTTACATCATAGACCAATTTAGGAAACTGGACTTGAAAAACGGCGTAAGTCTCTACTTAGTCATACACTGGTGTGAAATGTATTTTGATTGCCTACTCTTACCTACTTGAGATCAGTAAGAATCAGTGGTTGGGATATGGTAACTTTTCCTTTAAACCCTATTAAAAAAATACTTGACATTTTTTAGAGCCATAAAGCTATACATTTTAACTCAAGACTTACCAATAACTAAGATGGTACATTTTACTTTCTATGGTGCAAGTGTCACACTAATAGTTTTGCTATAGTATTTAAGAGACCTTGGATTATAAACCACTGAAAAGCTCGGTTTCATATATACAAACATGTATGTGTGCATATATATACAAGTATGTATACACAAATATACATTGTTAAATTATATATATGTACACATATATGTAAATATGTATAATTTTAAAGTAGTTATTTTACTCCCATGGTTTTACATTGAAGAATTGAATCTATGCCAGTTATCAATTAGAAATTATCAACTTTTAAAAAAGCTTTTTATTATGGAAAATTTCAAGCATAGACAAAAACAGAGAGAATAATGTGATGAGCCCCCTTGTACACATTAGCCATCTTCAATATTTATTGATCCATGGCCAGTATCATTCCATCCATACCCCTGTTCGCATCTCTGCACTCTTCTCCTTTAATCCATTGATCATTTTGAGGCAAATCCCAGATAGGATATCATTTTGTTCAAGATCTCAGAGTATTTTCTTGATTGAGATTTGTGTTTGTTTTGACATGACTTCAGTTAAGTATATGAGTTCATAGGCTTTCACTTAATATAAGTATCTTCTAACTTCAATTCATTATGGGAGATCATATCTATGATTACAGATTTAACCTTGAAAGAAATTTTCCTTCCCTTATGAGGCATCGGATAATAGCTATGGACACCCATCCATAAGGTTTTCTTATGACAGTGAATTATTTTGACCTGGAATCCAAAATCGTTATTATAACACAATAAAACGACAGTAATACTAGCTAACCTTTCTCAAACAATTACTCTGTGTTCTCATGCTCACATGTATTAACAAAATTAATCCTTAAAACCCTATGAGTAAGGTGCTATTTTTATCTTCACTGTGATAAAGCTTTTTTGGAACTTAGAATGTTCTATTACCCTTTATTCATATGTCAATGTTGCATTGCATTTATTTACATTACACTCACTCCTGGCCATATTTTTAGCCTTTCTGAGCAAACTACCTCGGTGGTATCAGTAGCAACAGGTTTTAGCAGCCATAACCCATCAACTCCACATGAGCAGAAATCAGCAGCTCTGAGTTCCTGAGGTTTCCTGGTGATTAATGGTTCAACGCAAAGACATATCTGACATTGTACAGTGTAACAAATGTTCTGAATTAGAAGATGGTAGATGTAGATACCATTCGGCTTATATTTTATTTATTTATTTATTTATTTATTTATTTTAATTTTGGTATCATTAATATACAATTGCATGAGCAACATTGTGGTTACTGGATTGCCCCCATTATCAAGTCCCAATCACATACCCCATTATAGTCACTGTCCATCAGTGTGCTAAGATGCTATAGAGTCACTACTTGTCTTCTCTGTACTATACTGCCTTCCCTGTGCCTTCCCTGACATTATTTGTGCTAATCATAATGCACCTTGATCCCCTTATCCCTTCCTTCCCCACCACCCACCCCAGACCTTTTGCCTTTGGTAACTGTTAGTCCATTCTTGGGTTCTGTGAGTCTGCTACTGTTTTGTTCCTTCAGTTTTTCTTTGTTCTTATACTCCACAAAAGAGTGAAATAATTTGGTACATGTCTTTCTCCACCTGGCTTATTTCACTGAGCATAATACCCTCTAGCTCCATCGATGTTGTTGCAAATGGTAGGCTTTGTTTTCTTCTTATGGCTGAATAATATTCCATTGTGTTATATACCACATCTTCTTAATCCATTCATCTACTGATGGACACTTAGGTTGCTTCCATTTCTTGGCTATTGTAAATAATGCTGTGATAACCATAGGGGTGCATATGTCTTTTTCAAACTGGGTTCCTGCATTCTTAGGGTAAATTCCTGGGTCAAATGGTATTTCTATTTTGAGTTTTTTGAGGAACCTCCATACTGCTTTCTACAATGGTTGAACTAGTTTACATTCCCACCAGCAGTGTAGGAGGGTACCACTTTCTCCACGCCCTCGCCAACATTTGTTGTTCTTTGTCTTTTGGATGTTGGCCATCCTAACTGGTGTGAGGTGATATCTCATTGTGGTTTTAATTTGCATTTCTCTGATGATTAGCAATATGGAGCATCTTTTCATGTGCCTATTGGCCATCTGAATTACTTTGGAGAAGTGTCTGTTCAGCTCATCTGCCCATTTCTTAATTGGCTTATTTGCTTTTTGTTTGTTGAGGTGTGTGAGCTCTTTATCTACTTTGGATGTCAACCCCTTATTGGATATGTCATTTATGAATATATTCTCCCATACTGTAGGATGCCTTTTTGTTCTACTGATAGTGTCCTTTGCTGTACAGAAGCTTTTTAGTTTGATGTAGCCCCACTTGTTAATTTTTGCTTTTCTTTCCCTTGCTGGGGGAAATATGTTCATGAAGAAGTTGCTCATGTTTATATTCAAGAGTGTTTTGCCTATTTTTTCTTCTAAGAGTTATATGGTATCATGACTTGACTTACACTCAGGTCTTTGATCCATTTTGAGTTTACTTTTGTGTATGGAGTTAGACAGTAATCCAGTTTCATTCTCTTACATGTAGCTGTCCAGTTTTGCCAACACCAACTGTTGAAGAGGCTGTCATTTCCCCATTGTATATCCATGGCTCCTTTATCATGTATTAATTGACCACATGTGCTTGGGTTAATATCTGGACTCTCTATTTCTGTTCCACTGGTCTATGGTTCTGTTCTTGTGGCAGTACCAAATTGTTCTGATTACTGTGGCTTTGTAGTAGAGCTTGAAGTTGGGAAGCAAAACCCTGCTGCTTTATTCTTCCTTCTCAGATTGCTTTGGCTATTCGGGGTGTTTTGTGGTTCCATATGAATTTTAGAACTATTTGTTTCAGCTTGTTGAAGAATGCTGTCAGTATTTTGATAGGGATTGCATTGAATCTGTAGATTGCTTTAGGCAGGTTGGCCATTTTGACTATTTTCTTCCTACCCAAGAGCATAGGATGAATTTCCATTTATCAGTGTCCTCTTTAATTTCTCTTAAGAGTGTCTTGTAGTTTTCAGGGTATAGGTCTTTCACTTCCTTGATTAGGTTTATTCCTAGGGATTTTTTCTTTTTGATGCAATTGTGAATGGAATTTTTTCCTGATTTCTCTTTCTGCTAGTTCATTGTTAGTGTATAGGAATGCAACAGATTTCTGTGTATTCATTTTGTATCCTGCAACTTTGCTGTATTCAGATATTAGTTCTAGTAGTTTTGGAGTGGATTCTTTAGGGATTTTTAATGTACAATATCATGTCATCTGCAAACAGTGACAGTTTGGCTTCTTCTTTACCAATGTGGATGATTTTTATTTCTTTGTGTTGTCTGATTACCATGGCTAGGACCTCCAGTACGACATTGAATAAAAGTGGGGGGAGTGGGCATCCCTGTCTTGTTCCCGATCTTAGAGAAAAAGCTTTTAGTCTCTTGCTGTTAAGTAGATGTTGGCCGTGGGCTTGTCGTATATGGCCTTTATTATGTTGACGTACTTGCCCTCTATACTCATTTTGTTGAGAGTTTTTATCATGAATGGATGTTGAATTTTGTCAAATGCTTCTTCAGCATCTATGGAGATGATCATGTGGTTTTTGTCCTTCTTTTTGTGGAGGATGATGTTGATGGATTTTTTAATGTTGTATCATCCTTGCATCCCTGAGAAGGATCCCATGGTGTGTGATCCTCTTGATGTATTTTTGAATTCAGTTTGCTAATATTTTGTTGAGTATTTTTGCATCTATGTTCATCACAGATATAGGCCTGTAGTTTTCTTTTTTTGTGGTGTCTTTGCCTGGTTTTGGTATTAGAGTGATGCTGGCTTAATAGAATCAGTTTGGAAGTACTCCCTCCTCTTCTATTTTTTGGAAAACTTTCAGGAAAATGGGTATTATGTCTTTTCTAAATGTCTGATAAAATTCAGTGATGAATCCATCTGTTCCAGGGGATTTTTTCTGGGTAGTTTCTTGATTACTGATTCAATTTCATTGCTAGTAATTGGTCTGTTTAGATTTTTTGCTTCTTCCTGGGTCAGTGGTGGAAGATTATATTTTTCTAGAAAGTTGTCCATTTCTTCTAGGTTATCCAGTTTGTGAGCATATAGTTTTTCATAGTATTCTCTCATAATTCCTTGCATTTCTGTGGTGTCCATAGTAATTTTTCCTTTCTTTTTTCTGGTTCTGTTTATGTGTATAAGAGTCTCTTTTTTTCTTAATAAGTCAGCTAGGGGTTTATCTATTTTGTGTATTTTCCAAAGAACCAGCTCTTGGTTTTATTGATTTTTTTCTATTGTCTTATTATTCTCAGTTTTATTTATTTCTTCTCTGATCTTTATTATGTCCCTCCTTCTGCTGACTTTGGGCCTCATTTGTTCTTCTTCTTCCAGTTTTAATAATTGTGACTTTAGACTATTTATTTGGGATTGTTCTTCCTTCTTTAAATAGGCCTGGATTGGATTGCTGTATACTTTCTTCTTAGAACTGCCTTTGTTGCGTTCCACGGAAGTTGGGGTATTGTGCTGTTGTTTTCATTTGTCTCCATATATTGCTTATCTCTGTTTTAATTTGGTCATTGATCCATTGATTATTTAGGAGCATGTTGTTAAGCCTCCATGTGTTTGTGTGCCTTTTTGTTTTCTTTGCATAATTTATTTCTAGTTTTATACCTTTGTGTTCTGAGAAGTTTGTTGGTACAATTTAAATCTTTTTGAATTTACTTAGGCTCTTTTTGTGGCCTAGTATGTGATCTATTCTGGAAAATGTTCGATGTGCACTTGAGAAGAACGTGTATCCTGCTGCTTTTGGGTGGAATGCTCTATAGATGCCTCATAGGTCCACCTGTTCTTTTGTTTTTTTCAGTTCCTCTGTGTCCTTATTTTCTGTCTGGTTGATCTGTCCTTTAGAGTGAGTGTGTGTTGAAGTCTCCTAAAATGAGTGCATTGCATTCTATTTCCTCCTTTAATTCTGTTAGTATTTGTTTCACGTGTCGGTGTTCCTGTGTTGGGTGCATATATATTTATAATGGTTATATCCTCTTGTTGGGCTGACCCCTTTATCATTATGTAATGTCCTTCTTTGTCTCTTGTTACTTTCTTTGTTTTGAAGTCCATTTTGTCTCATACATGTACTGCCACACCTGCTTTTTTTCCTCTCTTTTGTTTGCATGAAATATCTTTTTCTATCCCTTCACTTTTAATCTGTGTATGTTTTTGGGTTTGAAGTGAGTGTCTTATAGGCAGGATATAGATGGGTATTGCTTTTTTTTATCTATTCTATAACTGCGTCTTTATTTGGCTTTATATTTTCAATTGCTTAAAACTGGTTCCAGGAAAACTAGTTTGGGCTACTGAATTACCTGGCTTACCATTTAAAGTCTGAGGCTGGGTTAGTTTTTTATCAATGGTGCCAAAACTTTGGGATTTTTAAATAAATCTGTATTGTCTCTGTCAAAAATGAACTTTAAAAGATATTTTCTAAAAATATGAGAGATATTTTAAATACAACCACTACCTCAGTTAAAAAGAATGTCTAAAATAGCCCATTACTTAGAAGTTAATAACTTTTGAAAGTGGAATTAGTGATTCTCATGTTCAGTTATAGGAAGATTATAAGCCTTCCTTTCTAATTCTACTTGGGTAATAAAAAGTGTACTAAGTTAGGAGTCAAAACCTGGGTCCTAGGCCCCTTTGTCCTTAGAAAGCCTACAACCTGCATGTCCTGGTCTGTTAATGATGGATTTATAGGCCAGCACTACTGTTCTCGGCTCAAGTCCTATGAGTGTAAAGGGATTCCTAAATCTCCACGACATTGTATCTCAGCCATGCAATTTTTCTCTATGAATTCTACAGTGGTTAGAGTGCTCATCTAAGAGCCATTTCTAAACTACTTTCTTTCCACATATAATGTTAAAATGTCAGTTTATGCAGAGATTTAAAAAAAATTCTGTGCACAACTTGTAATAACTGATCAGTACTTTTTTTTAAAAAAAGGCAGTACAAGTAAAGTTTCTGCCAAGTCTGAGCCAGTAGTGTGGCTTGTAAATAATGATTTGTTATATCAACAGTATCAGAATAAATGTAGTAAGACTTTTTTTTTAACCTAGGGAGTAAACCTATTATTTTCCTGAAACAAATAATTAAATCAAACTCTGGGATTTTCTCTCTTGTTGAAGAAAGGAGCATACAAGGTTTGACATTCTAAGGAATCTAGTTATCTCTCCAGGGAGTTTTAGCAGAATCTCAAGTTTAAAATTGTAGTCTGCATATGGTAGTCCTCTCCTGTGTAACCTATATTCCCTTTTCCTTACCCTGTAGGTTCTGTCATATCATGCTTCAGCAGCAGAGGAAGAAACGAGAGAGCTCCAATCCTTAGCGGTAATTCTCCTCTTCTTTCTTTGTAGAAATGACTAACTACAGACATCTAATTAATATATTAATCGGCTTTTTCAGGATAACTGCTTCTTCTAGTAATATCCCCCTAGACATTTAATTAAATGTGGTAAATATATAGGCGGACATTCATAAAAATATTTAATCAACTCTACTTTCTCATAGGCCTATGAAGTCACTGTTAATATAACACAAAAGAATATAATATACTTTGTAATATATGATTCTGATTTTTTTCCAATAATGTTGTATCTTTCTTAGGCCAAAATTAAATTTGCTTTTCAGTTCCTGGGGAAATGTGAACAGGTGACTGCAAGAAGGTTGTTTGGTTAGGGTCATGGCAACCAGGATTTTATAGTTTAATGCTGATAACCTACTCTTCATTATCAAGAATTTTAATTTTTGTCCAGATGGTTTATGGAATGTTATGTGACACTGGGTTCAAATAAGGTCGGTTCCTGAATTCTTATTGCATTATTTAGTATGCTATGAGAGAAAAGGATATTGATATATAAGTAGGAAGTCATATATTCTAGGTCTTGATTGAGATTTCCTCAATTGAGACTAGTGCAAGTTTGATACACTTACACATTTTCAGCCAAAACTGGTCTTCTGAGTGTAAATTTACTTGAGACAACATAGATAAGTGCTGTGTGAGATGGGACTGGGGGTCATATAAGGAATGAGGAGGGTGTGAACAGACCACCGAGATTCTTTTGCGTTGCCAGTGTTATCAGAGCTTGCCAAATGCCAGCCGTCTGTGCCCTTACATACATCTTCTCATGTGAACCACATAAATGTGCTACGAAGGCCCTCCTGAATCTGGAGAAGCCCAGTGTCTTCTCTAGCACCCTAGCAGGAAGCGAGGGAGTCAGGACACAAATGCATACAGTCCAGCTCCAGAGCCTGTATGCATAACCACTGTGCTGTCTGTTATGAGCTGGTAGGGTGACAGGAGATTAAAGATGATTCAGAGGTTTTGACCTTGGTAATTAAAATAATGATGGTGCCACTGAATAACAAAAGTGAAAATATTAAGAAGGAAAACTGATAGATTTGATTTAGAACATGATGAGATTGAGTTGCTGGTGTGACAACCAAATGTGTATCTTCAATGGTCAGGAAGGGCAGGACTGGAGTGAGGAGCAGCTGGGTGTCAGAACTGGAGGTGGGGACTGGGAGTTAGATCCTGGGACTTGGGGGGTCTCAAAGTAGTGAAGCAATGAGAGCAGTCAGGAGAGTGCAGAGAAATGGGAGACTGAGGGCAGAGCCCTGTGGATGTAGCGGGAGGAGTGTGACAAGAAACCAGCTAAGGTGGCAAACTGGTAGTTGAACAGGGAGGAAGATGTAGGAAGGGCAGCGGCACAGAAAGCAGAAGAGAATGGTTTCTAAAGGGAAGGCGATCCCACCAACTGTTGAAGGAAGGCTAAGAAATATGAGGACTGAGGAAAGCCTGCTAGATTCAGGGATAAGATGATTATTGAGAAGGCAGCTTCAGGGGTGAAACTGTAAAAAGTAAGACTAATGATGAGAAAATGGAGGAGAGGAATATAGACTATTTTTTTAAATTAAGGTATCATTTATATACCATCTTATGAAGGTTTCACATGAGCAACACTATGGTTTCAACATTCACCCATATTATCAAGTATCCCCCACACGCCATTTCAGTCACTGCCCATCAGCATAGTAAGATACTATAGAGTCATTACTTACTACCTATATTGTGAGTGCTAATTATAATGCTCCTTAATCCCCTTCTCCTCCCCACCCACCCTCAACCCCTTCCCTTTGGTCATGGCTAATCCCTTCTTGGGTTCTGTGAGTCTGCTGCTGTTTTTGTTCCTTCAGTTTCTGCTTTGTTCTTATACTCCACAAATGAGTGAAATCATTTGGTACTTGTCTTTCTCTGCCTGGCTTATTTCACTGAACATAATACCCTGTACTCCATCCATGTTGTTGGAAATGGTAGGATTTGTTTTCTCCTTATGGCTGAATAATATTCCATTGTGTACATGTACCACATCGTTTTTATCCATTCATCTCCTGATGGACACTTAGGTTGCTTCCATTTCTTGACTATTGTAAATAGTGCTTTGATAAACATAGGGGTGCATATGTCTTTTTGAATCTGGGATCTTGTTTTCTTTAGGTAAATTCCTAGGAGTGGAATTCCCGGGTCAAATGCTTTTTGTATTTTGAATTTTTTGAGGACCCTCCATATTGCTTTTCCACAATGGTTGAACTAATTTATATTCCCACCAGCAGTGTAAGAGTGTTCCCCTTTCTCCACATCCTCGCCAGCATTTGTTGTTGCTTGAGGAATATAGACTATTTTTTAAAAATAAGTTTTCTGTAAAAGAGAGTGGAGAGGAAACCAGGAAAGGTTTTGGCTGAATCGTGTGAATTTTTTTACTTAGTTTGGTTTGGTTCGTGTTTGTAAGCAGGGATTGCCCACCACAAGAGAGCCGGCATGCCTGGGACAAAGTAGGGCGGTACAGGGTGAGCGTGAGGCCAACAGTGCCAGACTGCAGCAAGATCCAGGACTTGAAGTGGCCTAGGCACTAAAAAAAGAGACATCTCTTTGGCCAAGACAAGAGGAAACGGATAGTAAAAATAAAAATAACATTTATTAAGCACCTGCTATATACCTGGCATATCTGAAGTTCTTTGTGTGTATTAACCAAGTGGATTTAGTCTACAGCAACCCTATGAAGGTCAGTATTATTAGCACTTTGAAGATGTCTTTTGAAGCAGAGGGAGTTTAGATTGTCCTACTCATAGGGATCATGCAGGTTGTAAGTGATGGTGCCGGTCAATATCCAAGCAGTCTAATCCTGAGCCACACTCCATTTCATGGTCCTGGAGAGAAAATGAGCCAGAGAGCAAGGAAGGAGAATCAGGACTTACAGAAACATTCTCACTTAAATCACTGAGTAGGAAGGTGAGTCATTTGCCAAGAATAGTTTAAGGAACTGAGATGATTTCACCTGAAAGGTTAAGTTTCTTTAGGGGTTAGTCTCATTTGGAATTGGCTATACAGTGTATTTATTTTGTTCATGATGGTATGTGAAGGAATGATCAGTTTTTAATACTTTACTATCATTTATAGGTTTAAAGTATCTTTCACATCAGGCTTAATTGGTCCATTTGTGTACTACTACTAGAATGGCAAAGCTTCGAACTAAATGAATACTGTGAGTTAGAAATTACTGCATAGAAAGATACATTTTGAGGTACTTACAGACACTCTGGGATTATTAAGTTACTTCTATAATGAGGGCAAGGTTACTCTCTACCATGTGTTGTTTTAGATAAATAAAAATTAGCAAATAGAGTAGTTTCTAAAGATAATACTAAAAAAATCACTAGGATATTAAACTTTGTGTTTCACTTTGAAAATAGCATAGCCTTTCAGAAAAATCTGAAAATTGTTTGCTCAATTATGTTTATAATTTTAGCAAGAAATACTTTGGGATAACTTAAAATTGCAGCATTTCAGTATTGTTCAAGACCATCTGTTGTTCCATTTGGAAAATAGATTTCTGCCAGCTGCACTGAGAAATTAAGGATTACATACTGGTAGGTCAAGTAATTCATTTCAGTTGGTTGAATTCAGCAATTGATTTCAATTCTAGTTTTCTATTCACCTGATAAAAATTTCTTTATGACCCAACTACACAGGTATCTGTGTTACTCAGAAATTACCAAAATTGCTTTGTCATGTGTCTGATTGTTTATCTTAGTATAAAACCTGAAATTGAAAAGCTATAAAATGTTTTAACTTTTATTTTTTTAATTAGTTCTTAAGAGAATTAAATAATGTACTTAAGTAAACTAAATAGTTATGTCTATGTCCAGAAAAGTCCTCAAGTTACAACAAAAGTCTAACAAAGTTTATAGGAAATTCAGACCCATTATTTTTTTTCCTTGCTTTACTCAAGTTTTTAATTCCATTTTTAATCTAATTTGCTCTTAGTTTAAAATTGGGTGTAACAGAAATAGGGCCTTCAGCGAAGCATTTTGCCATATACTTTTAATGATCTTTAGTCCCAAGTTGTTGAAATGGAGATAAATAACCCCAGCTGACCTGATTATGATTATCAGAAAATTATTAGTTAAGATATCAGGATGTAATAAATGTTTTTCACAAGTAACTGATTGTTTGATTGATTGCCTTTTCTGCCTTCCTCTCATGTTAGAAGAGCAATAAATAAATATGCACTAGAGCTTAGCTTTTCAAAATTACCACAGTTTTGTCATGGAGTTGGTACTGATTCAGTTTAGTCCCTATAACTTCTGTTTTACAGCAATTTCATTAATTATAGATATGGATCTAAAAGCAAACTAAGACCCTATTTTGATTCTGAAAGTTCTTCTGTAGCAAAATAGTGAGAGAGGGAGATGCTGACCACCTCACTGTGACCTTAACCTTTCAGAGCCAGAAACTTCACCAAGTGGATTTAGGTGAAGATCAGAGTATAGATCCAGTTCCATATATCAAGATGATCATCACATTTCCTCACTTTCGGGGAAAATGTATATGGATAGTCAGATTATAGATGGAAAAATTTGAACAGATAATAAAAAACAAGGAGAGTTGACCTATGATCTTGATAACCAGTGTCACTGAACAGTAACCTCAAGCATCCATGAGGTATCTTCTTCCTCAGACGCTACTGGAATACTCTGGAGCAGTCCAGGTCCTGTAGACTTCCTGTACACCATCAGTTGGTCCATTCATTTTTATTGATGTCTCTAACATTAACTGGGCTCTATCTTTCCACATTGGCAAGATTTAATAGATTCTGTTTGGTTCTTCATGCCTTCATTTGGGATTGTTATTTTTTCTTGAGGTAAGCCTGTTCTGCAATATACTTTCCTTGAACAGCCTTTGCTGCATCCCACAGATTTTGGAGTGTTGACTTACTGTTTTCATTTGTCATCTTATATTACTTGATGCCTGCATGTGTTTATGGGCTTTT